AAAAAAAAAAAACCGTTGCTCGGACAAAAAAGCGAGCAAAAGCTCCCTTATTTTGACATTTGTGCGAAAATAGTTATCGCACAGTGACGTATATAGAGAGCCCGGGCGCCCAGAGAGGCAGCTTAATCATTTTTGGCGGCGAAGGCCGCGCTCCCGCCAATGATGTCAGCCTTGAACTCGCGTATCTCCGTTTTTGCCGCTCCGAGGCTAATTTTCTATATATATTGAATCTCCGTTCGATTTTCTAAGTAAAACAAGTTTTTTTTATTATTATTTTTTTTTTTTTAATAAAAGAAAGAAAATCGAACGCGACGTTCACGGGCCATAGGTTACGGGACTCTGATGCAATAATAATGATACTTATGTACTTAAAATTGATCGAAAGAAATTGTAATTGTGTGTGTTGCAAAAAGTTGACAATCATTACTGATCGATTAGATTCGTGTGTATAAAAATTTTTTTTTACAAGTATAAGTAACATAGCAAACATTTNCCTACCAAATAAAAAAAAATCGCACGAGTCACGATTATTTTTTAGAATTGTTGATTTCTTGATTTAAAATAGCACATTTACGAAATTTTAAGTATTATTTACTTTTAAGTGTGGAAAACTTGATGAAAGCGCCAGATTACCCCATGTTCGCGTGATGCGTGTAAACTGTTATACACGAGATAATACTTACGACGAGTACAGGCACTACAGTTGTCATTTATAGAGTATTTGTCGGGAGATTAAAAAATTGTTCTCCCCTCGTTATCTCTTCACCGATTGCTAGTGTATATGGAAAAGATTACCATTAGTAGCTTGATATCCTACAGTAGTATTTACTGTCTAACTATTATCTAAATCGTAAAAAAGTTTCCGTAGCATACATAAGTATATGCACAGGTGCACGTAAACCTAAAACGCATATAGTACCTGTGTAGGGAGGAATTAATTAAAATAATGAAATATTTATAACTCACGTGTAAGTTAACGGTGCAATAACATTATAGATAATTTTTCATTTTATTTTACCATGAGTAAAATGATGTATAGAGATAAATGTATTGAATACATAATTTTAAATCAATAGATATGATAGCTTAACGAAAAAGAGATTATATTCACAAAAAAAAAAAAAAAAAAAATTAATTTTTATAGCATAAAAAATACCTGAAC